TAGCTCTCGACAGAAAATGTTATTAAAGCCTCCGAGAAAAAGAGTTTTTAAGCTTTTCCAGAATGTGAGACAAAGTTTCAACTTTGAGCTTCAATAGCTCGAAAACTATTTGAGCTATAAATTTAAATCTTCTTCTTGGTGTTTAATCTTGCGTTAGTGCGACAGCACTCTTACGCAATTTTGGGTGAGTCTACTCTGTGCCATATGTTGTGTTTTAAGTCAATTTTTGTTCAGGGAAAGGGAGGGGAGTGGGGAAAGGATAGGAAGGATGGGAAAGGAGGGAAGGGGATTTCATTCACTAGAAGAGAAGTGGAGCTCTTAGATTTCTGAGAAAAGTCCTGTCAGGGTTAAAAGTATAGTTATCATCAAATAAAGAATTAATTATGTCATTTGTATGGTTAGTTACTTTGTCAAGAAACCGCGTATGTTTCTCAACAACTCCTGGATTCTATCAACGCTCAGGTCCGTATGTCGGTCCGCATTGCGAACATACCACGGAGCGCCGACCATCCTACAAATTACCTTGTTTTGAAACACCCGCAGTTTCTTTTTATTTTGACGTCTTGTCTGTGAAAAAATTGTTGCACCGTTAAAAAATAACTTATTTGTACAGTAATAGTTTGTTTTTTAGTGTTAGTTTACTGTCCTTGTTAAGTAATGGATAAAGCAATCCCACTAATCTGTTGCATTTATTCAGTTTATGATAAATGTGGAGGGTCCAAGAAAGTTTATTGTCCAGTAATAGTCCTAAATACTTAATTTGATTAGTCCATGTAATTTCGGAATCGTTTAGTATGAGGTTGTCAATATGTCACGTTTGTTGGAGATCAGGACGGCTTGGGTCTTATCGATGTTAATTTTAATTTTCCATAATTTTGCCCAGTCAATTATGGAGTCAAGATGATTTTGTAGTCGTCTGTGTATGTGATGTTAGTACTTTTATATCGTACTGAACTATTATATTCATATAATACCTTGGTTACGATAATCATAAACAGGGCCTTAACTCCCGCGCCGGGATTTAAGGATTTCATAACTCCCAAGGGAGTTAGGCAATAAGGGAGTTAAGGATATCATAACTCTCATGGGAGTTAAGGATTTCCATAACTCCCGCTTTTACCTTGAATAGGTAAAACTTAGAGAAAAAATATAAATTTTGGTTTATGGTTTATTCCTTTATAAAAATAGATAAAATACAGTAAATCCAGTAGGATATAAAATTATTTATGTACCACGGAAATTATCAAGTGATAATACCCACGGGCAATTGGTGTCCCTCGGGCCAGAGGCCCTCGGGTCATCACACCCTCATAATTCCCTGGATACATAAATAACTATTGTGAAGTGTTTATATACAAGTGTCATCTGCGTGAATGGACATTTTAGTATGGGGATTATTGGGGATGTCAGCCGTGTAGAGATTATGGAGCAGTGTAGCCAGGACAGAACCTGCTTGAGGAACTCCCGCTTCTATAGGTCTGACATTTGAGAAAGTATCTTTGTTGAGTTTGACACGGAAACGTGATTTGGACGAAAACCAAATTGTTCTGTCAAGATAATGTAAGGATTTAAGTTTTTCGTGAATTATTTTCTCAAGAATTTTAGAAAGTGAAGACAGAAGACTGATTGGACGGTAATTTTGTGGAAATTGATGATCTTTATCGACCGATTTTGGGATTAGTATCACAGTTGCCAGTTTCCATGCTTTAGGAAAGTAATTGATATTGAGGCATTCATTTAGAATGCAAGTAAATGTCGCGACGACGTTGGAAGGTTTTTGAGGACTTTATTACTAATATCATCGTAACCAGAGACTTTTCTGCTGCCTGAGCGGGTGATGAAAAATTTTACGTCGTCGGTGGAGACAGGAGTTATTGTATCATTCGGAGGAATAGGCAGCCAACAGATTTCTCTATAACGCCTATCTACGTCCTCTTCATGATCAATATCATCATCAGGGCCTTCATTGAGTGAAAATTGTGATTGAAGTGAGTCAGCAAAAGCACTTGCTTTTTCTTGATTAGTATGCACCAAACCAACTCTACCATGAATGGTGGGAATATGCCTATTTTTCTTATTTAAAAGAGAACGAATTATTTTCCATAGAGAATTATTCTCAGGGGACAAGTCAGCTAATAAATTACCCCATTTTTCGTTTTTGTGTTCCTTAATTAAAGTTTTAATTAAGTTCGTAAGTCTGTTACATTCACGTTTGATGTTTGGGTCTCTAGTCCTTATTGCCAGTCTTTTAAGTCGATTTCTCAACTTAATTTGCTGGCGTATGTGATGTGGTAGTGAGTATGGGTTATTTTGTTTAGTAGTTATAGTAATTTTAGTGCTATTTAAACTAAACACATTTACTTCTTGAGTAAATGTGTTAATAACTCTATCAATGTCCAGAGTCGTGTCTAACACGACTGGTGGGATATGATTGGCTTCAGGATGTGATTTGAATTGCGGATAGTTGTTAAAGGAAAAAGTATGGTGAGTATTTACATCTTGGTCCTGACCACCAACTTTAAGACTAATTGGAGTGTGGTCGGAGCTGAGATCGTTAATATTGCCAATACCAATGTTATAAGGGACATTTTTGAATAGAGCAAGGTCTAGAATGTCAGGGGTAATATTATGAAAATGAGTTGGCTCTAAGGGAGCATGAACTGAGATGAAATTGTCCTGGGTGAATTGAAGCAGAAAAGTGCCTGCTGTATTATTAGCGCGACACCCCCAGGCTCTGTTGTTGCAGTTTAAATCCCCTGCAACTAAGGTCGGAGTATCAGAACCGAAGAAGAGGTTCATATCATCACGGGTTAAGCGTTTAAAAGGAGGCTTATAAACGCTAAAAATATTGATCGAGCCATCTGCAAGGTGGACTACCACACCAGTGTATTCCATATTGTCAGGGGCAGGAGTGGCAATAGTGTCATGAGGGATATTGTTTTTAACGAAAATGGCAGTACCACCACCAACACAGTTAGGTCTGTCATTTCTGTATATAGTATAGTTTTGTACGTTGTAAATTGTATGTGGTCTGAGCATAGTCTCCTGGACTAATGCTATGTCAACATTATCCTCATGTAAGAAGGATGCAAACTCGTATCTTTTAGGAAAGATAGAGTTTGCATTCCAAGAGATTATGTAAAGTCGCGTCGGTCTAGGTGTATCATCCATTGTCTAGTTAAGTTGCGTTAAAAGTTTGAGACTGGGATGATTGTTAATCATCTCAGCCAATCTGTTTAGTTTATTTGAAATATCTTGCTCTGAAAGAGTCAAGAGACTCAAAATGCAGTTATTTGTCAAGTTTAGTTGTTGTTGAGGGAAGTTTGTATTTGTATTGATGTTATTATTATTATTGGTATTCAATTTAATTTTTTGAGCGTAGCTCACAGATAGGGTTGTAGTTTTAAATAGAGCTGTTACTGTCGCAGAGTTACTGTCTTTGGTACATTTACTGTAGAAATGATTGCCAGCACACCGATGACATTTAGGCTTTGCATAGCAATTAGACAAAAGTATACCCAAACTGCTGACAATTGTGGCATTGAGGAGCATATTTTTGTCCTTACTATGCTGGACTTCAATAGTCACCGGCATGTAGCTAATCCTTTTAATTTGGTAAAATTTGTCAGCTTCATCTGGGAAGACCAGGAGAGAAGAAAGAGCCTTTGAGGCCGCTTCTCTGGAGAGGGCTTGGATCTTTGGATTTCTCTAGGGGAGAAACCCAAAGACTCAAGTTCTTCCTGGACTTTCTCTAGGTCTTGATTTAAATTTAAATTTAAATCTTGTTTCTTCTCAAAGAGCATTTGAATTCTGATTATAAAAATATAATTATGTAATGGAATTTGTGAAATATTAACAAAGTTATTGGCGATTTTGTGAGGCAATATCAAAAAATCTAAACATTTTAAGACTAAAAATGGGGATTTGTAGAGGATTCAATTGGCTCTAATTTTTAGCATCATTATTTTGAAAGCAGCGAAAAAATATCTTATCTTAAAAGCTTATCCGACTCATTAAGTTTATAGTCGCTATTAAATCTCTATAAAATCTGTAGAGATATTATACGCATCAAAATATCATTTTTTAAAGTAGGTAACCCAGTAATAACAAGATAACTAACAGTCCAAAAAAGTACCACCACAGTGAATTATTTTCCTAAATAGTACCGCCATAATTCTTAGATCATCACGTTCCATCACATAAACAAATCACCACATTACCATAATCTTTATTAACTTATTAGTAATTCTACCTTCAGCCTGATGTGATGTGATGGTGGGTCGGCGTTTCAATAATTATTATTATTATTCACGCTGTTGTATTAACAATAAACCAAGTTGTTCGTTCAGTTAAAAACCGGCATTGGTACTGAGCATACCTACCATATATAATAAAAACATCTCCGTATGATCTCCTTGAAACATGCCGAAAAAGAAAGTGCATTGTTGACGAGAGGAAGATTTTAATTAAATTTGAAATTAAAAAACAATTATTTATTTTAGTTGGTGTTTGTTTTGTGATTATTTTTCTCAAATTTAAAATGACGATGGATAAGGAAAAACAGATGCAGGTTCGTGTCACAAGAATTAATATTTGTTTTGATTTAAATAATGGAAAATTCATTAATAATTAAGTTATGATGATGAATAATCAAAATAATCCATGTTTTAAACAATAGGAAATGGAAAAAAAAAACATTCATAAGTAGTAATTATTCTGAGAAACAATAAGCAAAAACATTTTGCCTTGACGTGACTTTTTTAATTTATGTTTTTCTCTTCTTTTGCCATTGAAAATTCCACATTATGGTTTTAGGTATTCTAAAAATTTACACATAAATTATGGCTTTTTATTATAAAAATGACACATAAAAATGTTAAAGCAGATAACAGAAAATTATCGGTGTTAAAACGCACCTATATAGACAAAACCAGGTGAAAGCTGTTTTGCCTTGATCGCATTCTGTACGTCTTTTAACTTAATTTTCATTTATATTGCAGAAAATTGCATACCCAAAATCAGTATTCTTTATTGTCAGCAATGAATTCTGCGAAAGATTTTCTTATTATGGCATGCGAAGTAAGTAATTATATAAACTTTGACTCAAATTCTAATAAAACTATTTCCAAATAAGCAATTCTCTCCTTGTATCTCATGGACATACTCAGCTACACGGAATCTTCAGCCAAAGTCCTCTACCACACCTTCACAATGTTCGTCTACTTTTTCCCAGTACTTGGAGCCATAATTTCGGATAGTTGGCTGGGAAAATTTCGCACAATACTCTACGTTTCTATTATCTATGCTTGCGGTAGCATCCTGCTGGCTCTTACTGCTGTAGATCCTTTAAGCATACCACAAACAGCATTTTCCATGTTAGCTTTGTTCCTAATCGCCATCGGTACTGGTGGTATTAAGCCTTGCGTTTCTGCTTTTGGAGGAGATCAGTTTAAATTGCCACAGGTAAACAAATTGGATTTATTTTTACTTACTTATAGAACAATCGGTTTTTTGTAGCAAGAACTTCAACTAGCAACATTTTTCTCGCTGTTTTATTTTTCTATAAACTCTGGGAGTTTGATATCGACATTTTTGACGCCTATTTTGAGAAACAACGTCCACTGTTTTGGTAATAATAACTGTTATCCTTTGGCGTTTGCAGTTCCTGGAGTTTTGATGGTAGTCTCTATATGTAAGTAATTTTATAGATTCGGTTATTATAAATTAATTTGATTTTTTTTTAGTTATTTTTGCTTTGGGAAAACCATTGTACAAAATTAAGGAGCCGAAAGGAAATGTGTTTGTTGATGTGGTCAAATGCATGACGGTGAGTTATAAATATAGATTTTTTTAGGCTCTGACGGTAGTAGATTAAAAAGGTTGATTGTTACATTTAAAATACTGTTGATGGATAATATTTGCCGTTATATTTTCAATTTTTGTATATTCCAGGCTCTTGAATTTTGGAACTAAAAAATTATAGATTTGTAGAGAATTTAATTGGCTTTGATTTGAGCCTAAATATGTTGAAATTGGATTGAAATTAACAAAGTTGTGAGGCAAAATGTGCGTCGGTGTTATTTTAGAACAATGAAATTTCCGAAAAACTCTATTATAGATAGAAAGCTGAAACTTTCACTGAATTTTATCCCAATCAAGGGACTACAATCCCTGGAAATTTCAGCTCATTTGCACTCATAGTTCCTGAGATAAAATCGTGTTAAGCAATTTGGGGTGATTTATCAATTTTTCAGTTTTTCTGAGTGCCTTTTTTCATAGATTTCGGCTTCAAATCTGAAAATAATTTAGTGTATGGAGTTTGGGGGATGTTGATTGACCATTAGGATACAAAATCTCGACAAAAAAAAATTTGAAATTTCATCTTTTTAGTAAGAAGGTACCTACCTTATGATTTATATTTTGGAAAACTTTGAAAGGTCGTAACTTTTTTTCTATTATAGATAGAAAGCTGAAACTTTCACTGAAATTTATCTCAATAAAGAGACTACAATCGCTGAGAATTTCAGCTCATTTGCACTTATAATTCTTGAGATAAGATAAAATCGTGTTAAGCAATTTGGGGTGATTTATCAATTTTTCAGTTTTTCTGAGTGCCTTTTTTCATAGATTTCGGCTTTAAATCTGAGAATAATTTAGTGTATGGAGTTTCGGGGATGTTGATTGACCATTAGGATACAAAATCTCGACAAAAAAAAAAAATTGAAATTGCATCTTTTTAGTAAGAAGGTACCTACCTTATGATTTAGATTTTGGAAAACTTTGAAAAGTCATAACTTTTTTTCTATTATAGATAGAAAGCAGAAACTTTCACTGAATTTTATCCCAATCAAGGGACTACATGTAATTCCTGAAAATTTCAGCTCATTTGCACTTATAGTTCCTGAGATAAAATCGTGTTAAGCAATTTGGGGTGACTCATCAATTTTTCAATTTTTCTGAGTGCCTTTTTTCATAGATTTCGGCTTCAAATCTGAGAATAATTTAGTGTATGGAGTTTGGGGCATATTGATTGACCATTAGGACACAAAATCTCGACAAAAAAAAAATTGAAATTTCATCGTTTTAGTAATCGTTTATGATTTAGATTTTGGAAAACTTTGAGAGGTCGTAACTTTTTTTCTAATATAGATAGAAAACTGAAACTTTCACTGAATTTTATCCCAATCAAGGGACTACAATCCCTGAAAATTTCAGCTCATTTTCACTTATAGTGTTAAGCAATTTGGGGTGATTTATCAAAAACACCATTGAGGAAGGTTCAATTTTTTTTTGAGAAAAATATTTGAGATATTGGATTCAAATTTTGCAAACGTATAGAGAAAAGATTGACATTTAGGGAAAAAAAATCCTTCTGCTGGCTCACCATGACAAAAATCAACGTCCAAAGACTTAGAAGCATCGCAACTGCAAAACTATTGAATCTGCATCGAAACTATTCAATAGAGATTTCTAGAGGATTCAAATGGCTCTAATTCAGGCCGAATTACGTTAAAATTGGATTGAAATTAACAAAGTTGTGAGGCAAAATTTGCATCGATGTCATTTTGGAAAAATGAAATTTTCAAAAAACACCATAAAGAGAGGTTACATATGGATAAAGAAAACATTGAAATTTAGGAAAAACAAATTAGAATTTTCTTCTGTTGGTTCATCTTATGATAAAAATCGACGAAGAGACTTTTGAAGCATCGCAATTACAAAAAAACAATGAATCTACATTGAAAATAGTAAATGTAGGTTTGTAGAGGATTCAAGCCTCATGTTGTTAAGATCGGATTGACTGAAAGATTTTGAATCATTGATGCTTAGAGACTATTGGAACCGCATTCAAATTGTTAATTTCCCTATATGTTTTCAAAATAAGAGAGGAAAACATCAACAATAAGGAATTCAAGAGCCTGGAATTAAAAAAAAAATTAGAAAAATCCCTTGCTAGATGATATGATACCTCATAGTTCAATAATAAAACTAAAATAATTTTAATTATTGATCTATTTTAGTATGCAATTACGCATCGAAAAAGCAATCCTGACGTCGAACATTGGCTGGATCGTTCCAAAGACAAATTCGGCGAAAAACTAGTAAGCGACATCAAAGCCGTACTCAAAGTTTTAGTCCTCTACATCCCCCTTCCGATTTTCTGGGCCTTATACGACCAACAAGGTTCAGGATGGACTTTCCAAGCCGTAAGAATGGACGGCAATATAGGATTCTATACGATTTTACCCGATCAGATGCAGGTGGTGAATCCTTTGTTAATTTTGGCTTTTATTCCCTTGTTCACCTACGCAATTTATCCTCTACTGGCAAAATGTCATTTGCTTAGAACGCCTTTGCAAAGGATGTGCTGTGGTGGTTTTATGACTGCTATTGCTTTTGGTATTTCGGCTTGTGTCTCTATTGCCTTGGAAAACACTTATCCCGTAGAACCATCCACTGGACAAGCTCAACTAAGAATCTACGACACAACAAATTGTCAATACAGGTAAAATATTTGAATGAGAATCAAATAGATTTTAATTTTGTTTTGTTTCAGTTTTACTAGTGATACAATTCAAGGTGGTGCAGTGAATGGATATTATGTGAACTTAGACGTGCCAATTCCTAATGCAAGTAGAATGGTGAGAATTTGGAAGTTATAAGCTCAAAGAAATACTAAATTATTCTTTTTTTTTTTTTGGAAAAAAGATTTCCTTTAACTTCACATCATTGGATTCTTCTTGTTTACCTATTGATATGAATATGAAAATGAACGAGTCATCAGCTTACGGTATTTATTTGCACAAAAGAGGCGCAACTTCATTTAAGGATAATGTAGCCAAAAGTGAAGACGGAAAACCATTGGTCAGGTAATTCTTTTTTCTTTAGTGTCAATTTTTGATTATTCCAGGCTCTTGTATTTCTATTTCCATCATCCAAATTGCTTCTTAAAGAAAAAGTCAAAGGATTAGTCAAAAGCCTGGAATAAAATTTCTCTATATAAAAGAATCAAGGAACAGTCAAAATCCTGGAACAAAAAAGAAAAATGATCAAATTTCCTTAAAACTCTTGTCTCTGTTTCTCTTCTCGTTAGTTTCAATTTTCAACTATTCCAGAATTTCTTCCATCCATTTTTTTTTCTATAGAAGAACCAATAAGGAACAGTCAAAAGCCTGGAATAAAATTTCTATCCATGAAAGAATCAAGGAACAGTCATAAGCCTGGAATAGAAAAGAAACATGATCATATTTCCTCTATTTCTCTTCTTTTTGGTTTCAATTTTCAACTACTCCAGATTCTTCAATTTCTGTTTCCTCCTAATTTTCTTCCTATAGAAAAAAAAAGAGGAAGACTCAAGAACCTGGAATAAAAACAAAATTGACAAAACATATGTAGTACCTACATACCTACTTATTACTTTACGCATTCTTCAAGAAACGTAAAATTATATTTCACAGTTTGATATTACAATAGTATATTACAAACCAAGGTGGAAAGTGTTTCATTACTAACTAAAATTTAGAGACAGACGTAATGAAACTTTTAACCGAGGTATGTATACTATAGGAGGGAAGTTAGCTTTCAACCTGTGGGTGGAGAGTAAAAGTCAAGAAAGTGAAATTTCCAAACTTTTCAAAAGTCAGAAAAGTCGACATTACATGTATGATTGTGAATAAAAGCCTTTACTGCCCTTGTTTGTCCATATTTGATTGAGCCATCTCCAACATATTTGGTTCTAAAAATTTTAAAAACACTATCAGAGAAACCAAGTATCTCAAATACCTGCAGCTTTCACCTGTACAGGTAGAATGGTTCACAAAATCAGTAGTAGGATAGTGATTTTACAATTTTTGGAGCCAAATATATGAGAGATTGCTCAATCAAATATAAATCAGGGTATTGTGCTCTTCAAGAATATAGAATGAAATATAGGGCATCCCATTTGAAAAAAGCTGGAAGCATGCAAAATTTCACATTTCTGACATTCAAATTTTGTTTCTGACCATGGTTTCTAAAAATTCAGCCAAAACTGTACAACTTTTGTATTTACACCTTTCTTTTACCTTTAAATGTAAAGATTGCAGTCAATATATAAAAAAACACCCTGTACAAATAAGTGGATTATTGCGGAATATATGGGTAGACCATCTACCATCTAGCCATCTACTCACCAATATACTGTTGAACTGTTCAAATAGGACACTCATCTGAAACGTGTAGTTTTTAAACTAATGAGAATAACTCACATTTGAGTGAATCAGGTTAGTATGGTAATTAAACAACATATTGATGAATAGATGGCTGCGGAACTCGCTACGCTCGTCCCGCAGAGGTCCACCCATAAGTTCCGCAACAATTCACTCATTTGTACTTGCATAACTTGTCACATTATGTTACTAGTTTGGTAAAGTAACATTACTAATTCCTGTTGAAAGGCAAATTGACAAAAAGTGAATAGTCTTACAAATTTTGACTTTACATAATAAGTTATTGATCAAGTACAAATAAGTGAATTGTTGCGGAACTTATGGGTGGACCTCTGCGGGACGAGCGCAGCGAGTTCCGCAGCCATCTACTCACCAATCTACTGTTGAACTGTTCAAATAAGACACCTACTCATCTGAAACGTGTAGTTTTTAAACCAATGAGAATAACTCACATTTGAGTGAGTCAGGTTAATATCGTAATTAAATAACATATTGATGAATAGATGGCTGCGGAACTCGCTACGCTCGTCCCGCAGAGGTCCACCCATAAGTTTCGCAACAATTCACTTATTTGTACTTAAATAACTTGTCACATTATGTTACTAGTTTGGTAAAGTAACATTACTAATTCCTGTTGAAAGGCAAATTGACAAAAAGTGGAAAAGCTGATAATCTTACAAATTCTGACTTTATATAATAAGTTATTGTTCAAGTATAGGGTGTTTTTCTAAATATTGACACCCCACCTACAGCCTTCACCTTTACATGTAGATGAAAGGTGTAAATACAAAAATTGTACAGTATTGGCTTAATTTTTAGAATCCATGGTTAGAAACAAAAATTGAATGTCAGAAATGTGAAATGTTGCATGTCTTCAGCTTTTTCCAAATTGGATGCCCTATATTTGGTTCTATATTCTTGAAGAGCACAATTTCCCAATTCCAAAACTATATAGTTTTTCTATATGTGGTTGAGCCATCTCGAACATATTTGGTCCTAAAAATTTTAAAAGTACTATCAGAGAAACTATAAAAAAATAAGTACCTCAAATTTTACCTGCAGCTTTCACCTGTACAGATAGAATGGTTCACAAAATCAGTAGTAGGATAGATTTTTACAATTTTTGGAGCCGAATATATGAGAGACTGTTCAATCAAATATAGACAAAGTATCTATTTTTGGAATCGGGAAATTGTGCTCTTCAAGAATACAGAATGAAATATAGGGCATCCTATTTGAAAAAAGCTGGAAGCATGCGAAATATCACATTTCTGACATTCAAATTTTGTTTCTGACCATGGTTTCCTAAAATTCAGCCAAAACTGTACAACTTTTGTATTTACACCTTTCATCTACCTGTAAAGGTAAAAGCTGTAGGTGGGGTGTCAATATATAAAAAAACACCCTGTACATGTAGGTAATGTTGACTTTCCTGACTCTGAAAATGTAACTTTTTTGAGTTTTACTTTCCACCCACGGGTTGAAAGTTCACTTTCCTCCCATAGTATACATACCTCGGTTGAAAGTTTCATTATTACTGTCTCCAGATTTTAGCAATGAAACACTTTCCACCTAGGTATGTAATATACTATTATACCCTAAGTTGTGAAGTAAGTTACTTTTTCGACATTAAGGCATAAAGGTGTGATATATATTTTCCAAATATATGGCTTTATATTGTCAGTAGTAGAAAAAAATTTGTATGTAACACGTGTGTAAAACCCCCTTATTTCATTCATGTGATTAACATTCGTGAAAAAAGGTTCACTTTACACACTTGTTGTATAAATAGCTACTATCCAAAACTTATATAAAAAAAAACATTCTAGAACCCTAGTAGATGACAATACAGCATCCATCACCTACACTTTAGACGGCAAAGACAAGACAATCGAACCTGGAAATATAACTCTAATGTCATTCGCAAATGTTGGAACTTATTCTATTGCCGAAATAAGTGAGGATGTGGAATTCAAGCTTGGTGGAACTTACACTGTAATTATTAGCTTGGTAAGAATTAATTACTGTTGTACAGACCGACATAATAAATTCATTATTTTAGACAAACAACAATTACAATCTTCAAATAATCACTAAGCCTAACTCTGTCCATATTTTGTGGCTCTTGCCGCAATATTTCGTCATTACAGCTGCGGAAATTATGTTTTCCATTACCGGGTTGGAATTGTCTTATTCGCAAGCCCCGGCTTCAATGAAATCCGTATTGCAAGCCTGTTTCTTGTTAACGACAGCTTTTGGTAATCTTATTATCGTACTTATAGAGTCTGCTAAGATTTTCGACAAACAGGTAAGAATTTAGTATAGGATGATGTGTATAATTTGTTGACTGAATTATTTTTTTGTAGTCTAATGATTTCTTCCTTTATACTGGTCTTATGGTGGTTGATATGCTGATGTTTATGTGGCTAGCAATTAGATATGAATATGTGGTTGATGAGGATAGTGATACTGAATTGGCTAGCCAAGTGACGCCGAAAGCGTCGATGAATGGAAGAAAAAGTATTGGGACCTCAAAGGGAGTAGATAATCCCGCTTTTGAGTGATACATTTACTCAATTAATTGAGTGCTAATCAGTATTTTTTGTTACTAAAATAGGTAATTGATTTAGATGTAATGCCCAAACAATCTAGTTAGAATGTTATTTGGTATATAAATGTTGTATTTCTTATTACTGTGATGTATTTGTATATTATTTTTTTATATAAAAATTAACAAGTATTATGTTTAGGAATATTTGTAAGTAGGTATACGTTATAGTAACGATATAAATTATTGAAAACTATTCTGCCCAATTTTTATACAAAATAAGTAGGGTATTTTTTATGTTTCTAGAAGACTAATTGTATAGCATTTGTACTAAATTCATGTTTTTAAAATGGCATTTACTTTTAATAAGACGATAAGTGATTTGTAAATTTTTGTTTTCATCAATAAATGGAAATTTGTTATAAAGTTGCTTATACTCTTGAACCCAAGTAAAGGAATAATGCGAAATATATTTCTATTTCTAGCTATGTCTACCAATTTTTCTAAAATTTTCTCTTTCATTTTTCTATATTTTTGTCTCAATTTTTGTTTATTACTGGCTCTTGAGTTTTTGTCTTTTTCTTCTTCTTTCTCTTATGATAATTCAACAGCCTGGAATAGAAAATTTATGTTTTTTTTTCCAAATTTATCTTTAATTTCCATTTTTCATTTCTCAATTTTTGTCTGTTTTCGGCTCTTGATTTTTTATTTCTTTCAATGTTCTTCAAATAAATGAATAATGCAAGAAATATTTCTACCTGTCTGTCACTTTTTCTTAAATTTTCTCCTTCGTTTTTCTATATTTTTGTCTATTACTGGCTCTTGTGTTTTTGTCTATTTCTTCTTCTTTCTCTTATGACAACTCAAGAGCCTGGAATAGGAAATGTATGTTTCTTTTTCTAAATTTTTCTTTCATTTCCATTTTTCATTTCTCAATTTTTGTTTGATTTCGGCTCTTGATTTTTTATTTCTTTTAATGTCCGTCAAATAAATGAATAATGCAAGAAATATTTCTACCTGTCTGTCACTTTTTCTTAAATTTTCTCCTTCATTTTTCTATATTACTTTACTGGCTCTTGTGTTGTTGCCTATTTCTACTTCTTTCTCTTATGACAACTCAAGAGCTTGGAATAGGAAATTTATGTTTCTTTCTATAAATTTTTCTTTTATTTCCATTTTTCATTCATCAATTTTTGGCTATTCTCGGCTCTTGACTTTTTGGTTCTTTCAATGTCCTTCAAATAAAGGAATAATGCAAGAAATATTTCTACTTGTCTGCCACTTTACCCTAAATTTTCTCTTTAATTTTTCCATATTTTTGTTTATTGCTGGCTCTTGAGTTTTTGTCTATTTTTTCCTCTTTCTCTAATGACAATGATAGTTTTTGAGCTTCTGATAAAAAGCTATCATTGCGCAAAAGTGCTACCATCGCTAGTTTTCAAAATATTGGGCTTTTTTTTTGGTTTTTGTCAGAATTTTTGTTCTTGATGGTCAATTGGATTTTCAATGAGCGGGTGCTTTCACCAATATTTCAGCATTTATGTTGGAGTTGTTTGCATTCTAAATTTTGTTGAAGTTTGGTATTATGTATTATTAATCTCGCCTTGTGGAAGTTTGTGTATTACCAGTAGCGTTGCAAACAAGACAAGAGTTATTTCGCTGAGCTGAAATTTTCAGGGATTGTTGTCTTCTACTGGGGTAAGAATCGCTGAAAATTTGAGCTTTCTATCTTTAATAGAAAAAAAGTTATGATCTTTCAAATTTTTCCAAAATCTAAATCATAAGGTAGCTCAGTATACTAAAACGATGAAATTTCAATTTTTTTTTTGTTGCTATATTGTGTCTTAATGGTCCTTAAGATCCCCCAAACTCCATACACTAAATTATTCTAAGATTTGGATCCGGGTTCTATAAAAAAAGGCACTCAGAAAAATTGAAAAATTGATAAATCACCCCAAATTGCTTATCAAGATTTTATTTCTGGAACTATAAGTCCAAAAGAGCTGAAATTTTCAGGGATTGTAGTCCTCTACTGGGATAAGAATCGCTGAAAATTTCAGCTTTCTATCTATAATAGAAAAAAAGGTATGACCTTTCAAAGTTTTCGAAAATTTAAATCACAAGTACTGAAACGATGACATTTTAAATTTTTTTTGGTTGAGATTTTGTGTCTTAATGGTCCTATGGAATCTCCCAAACTCCATATACTAAATTATTCTAAGATTTAGAGCCGGATTCTATGAAAAAAGACACTCAGAAAAATTGATAAATCACCCCAAATTGCTTAACACGATTTTATTTCTGGAACTATAAGTCCAAATGAGCTGAAATTTTCAGGGATTGTAGTCCTCTACTGGGATGAAAATCGCTGGAAATTTCAGCTTTTTATCTATAATAGAAAAAAAGTTATGACCTATCAGAGTTTTCCGATTCTGGGAAAAAGGGCACTCAGAAAAATTGAAAAATTGATAAATCACCCCAAATTGCTTAACACTATTTCATTTTTGGAACTATACATCCAAATGAGCTGAAATTTTCAAGGATTGTATTCCTCTATTGGGATAAAAATCGCTGAAAATTTCAGCTTTCTATCTATAATATAAAAAAAGTTATGACCTCTCAAAGTTTTTGAAAATTTAAATCACAACCTCAGTACTAAAATAATGAAATTTCAAATTTTTGTTGTTGTAATTTTGTGTCTTAATGGTCCTTTGGGATCCCCCAAACTCCACACTGAATTAGTCTGAGATTTGGAGCAGGAATTTATGAAAAAAGATACTCATATTTCTGAAACTATAAGTCCAAATGCGCTGACATTTTCAGGGATTGTAGTCCTCTATTGGGATAAGAATAGCTGAAAATTTCAGCTTTCTATCTATAATAGAAAAAAAGTTATGATCTTTCAAAATTTTTCAAAATCTAAATCATAAGGTACTTAGCTACCTCAGTACTAAAACGATGAAATTTCGAAGTTTTTTTTTGTTGAGATTTTGTGTCTTTGGAATCCCCCAAACGCCATATATTAAATTATTTTGGGATTTGGAACTAGATTCTATAAAAAAAGGCACTCAGAAAAATTGAAAAATTGATAAATCACCCCAAATTGCCTATCAAGATTTTATTTCTGGAACTATAAGTTCAAAAGAGCTGAAATTTTCAGGGATTGTAGTCCTCTACTGGGATAAGAATCGCTGAAAATTTTAGCTTTCTATCTATAGTAGGAAAAAAGTTATGACCTTTCAAAGTTTTTCAAAATCTAAATTATAAGGTCAGTACTAAAACGATGAAATTTCAGTACCACTTACCAGTACCTTGCATGTTAATCTCTTAAAAATATTGAGACACTTACCAATAGTCATTGAAACGATCTTCTTCAAATGGACCTCAACTTACCCAGATATAAATTTCAATTCAAGAAAAAAGAGACATATATTTGTATTAAAACATTTTTCAGGCAAATAAATATAAAAATTGGATCTTAACTATTCTCAAAAAATGCATCTTATTTAATAGGAGCTCCCTTCATAGTTTTACTACGTATTTTTCCACCAGACTTTGTAAGCAAACTGTTTCCTTGCCAATGTGCCAGACAATCCGAATTGGTTTTCAAATCAACTTGAAGCTTCTCCCATACTTTTTTCTTAGGATTAAGAACAGTGTCTGGAGAACCGCTCTCATAATTTTCAATGAAAACTCTTTCACCTGGAATTGCACCTTCTGGTGCAAGTAGAGGCTCTACTTGTTTAGGCTCATCACTAAAAATATCAACTATTATTTGCACAAAATGTATTTGAAAAAAACTAACACAGAAGCACATAAAACCATCCCTTGGCTTTCAATGCCCCTCATTTTGGCAGCTTTAAGATTACACAAAACCACAACCATTCTATTTTCCATTTCTTCTACCGGTACATAATTAACTAGGCCACTAACAATAGTTCTGGGTTGTTCTTCACCTAAATCAATTTTTTCTACATAAAGGGCGTCAGCATCTGGATGTCTCGATACTTCAACAATTTTGCCTATTCTTATGTCCAACCTGCTTGGCGTTATTTCATCTGATGACGCAACTGGATTGCCACCCTCTAAATTAGTTATTTTAGTTTTATAAATTTTTAAATAAATTACTATATTATACTTTGTTTTGTAGGTTGCGGATAAGCTTTTTCAGTTAGTTTTTTTAGTTCAGGTGCCTCAAAGTCCTTAATTATAGGAGCCAATAGTCTATTGATTTGAGCTTCTACAGATGCTTTTAAGTCAGCAGGATGGATTTCCTATTATAAAGTTTTCATTATCAATAGTGTTTTTTGCTGCAAATTCTTACCTGTTTTGCAAAAGCTTGCTCCAAGTCATCAAATTGCTTAAAACTAACATCGCCCCCATTTTCAGCATTCCTCTTAATTACAAATCCATCATTTTGATCAAACAATGGAAAAACTACATGCTTTACAAAAGACAATACCCCATTGTTCTCGATGTTGCCAGGTTCGCAAAAAGCCTTTTTCAACTTCTTCTTAACATTAGCTGGAGAGTCTAGTAGGTCAATTTTACTGTCTTCTTCTGAAGAAGACATTTTAGTGCCCGTCAAACCAGGAACCATTGGGTTCATTAAATGCGCTCTTTTGGTGTAGCCCAATTGAGGCAAGTATTTTTCAGAAAAAGTGAAAATTTTTCTCTGGTCTACACCACCAAATTGAGCATCCACCTTCAAATATTCCTCATCTAAAGCTTGAAGTCCTGGATACAATAAACCACTCAATAAAGGATGGTCTACTTGTTTGACTACTTCAGCTCCAGCTTTTTTAGCATCATGCTCAGTCACGACTGAAGTCAATCTATAAACATCCAAAGTGTATTCTTTAGAAAGTTGATATTCAGTGCCTTTGACAAATTTTAGCTTTTCTAATGGCACTCCAATACTACGAAGCATGGATTTAATGCTGTGCTCATAATACTGAGTGCGGAGTGTTAATAAATCCCAGGGGGCTTTCATGTTGTCCAAATACGCGTGTAGATCAGCAAATAGGATGGTTACCTGCAAATGGTTGCTGTAAAAAAGGAATTATTGAAATGATTGGTTGTTACTTCTGCTCCAGCTCTTAAAAAATCAGCAATTTTAGACATGGGCACAAAATAGGCTACATGGGGCTTGCCGGTAGTGGCAGTACCCCAATAGATTTTGAGGTCTCGTTCTTTCAGGATTGTTTTGATTTTGTCTTCGCCTAGGACTTCTTGTAGGTTCCTGGATATCAAGTTGTATTTTTCGTCGGGGGTTAATGGTTCTTGACCCATTTTTGCAGCTGAGAAAAAAAGGGTTTATCTTTTGGACCATATGGTGCAATTTTAACAGGAAAATTATTGGCAGTTGATGGTTTTTGATTCTATTGATTTAGATATTTGTAATTTTACATTACTTACCTATTGAAAATGGTAAAAATCAATTTAGATGTTAATTAATTTAGGAAAATGCAAAAATGTTAATTTTACTTGAAAAAAAAAACGTCACTAATTGAGGTTAGGTTTCAAAGTCAAGGTGAAATCTTCTTATATTTCCCCACCCAAAAAAGGCTTGTTCGGACTGTTCCGAGTAGTTTTAGAACAAGTTCAGTTCAATTCAGAATTTTTTTTTAATAATATTGGACCTGACTACGAGCAATTAGAGCAGGTTTGTTTTCCGAAATCGCCGTCCAATATAGAACGTTAGTTTTGCACTGAACTGGTTTTGAATTTACTAAATTTGCTCCTTTTATTGAATCGGTGTAGTGCAGTATCGAACAGCACAAAATGAAAAAGCCTCATTATTTAACCGGTCAAAATTCTGACCAATCACATGTCTATAGGAAACGGATTTTTATTATCCGGACGTGCTTTATTGTTGGTATCTCTTTCTAGCTCGTATGTTGAATCTAGGAAGGCGAGACAGAAAAATAATGGAATGTCTGTCATATGTCGTCACAATCGAATTGAAATAACCGTTTTTCAAGAGGGCTGCTGCTTGTCCCCTTGTTGAAATACTTCAAACGTGAATATTTTGGAGTTTTATTTAATTTATACATTATTTTATTGAAAAAGTTTGACCTCTAAATAGGTAAGTGGCAAATTTAATGTTTATTTTTACTAGCACGGGCCTAAAAATTCGTTATTGGGATTGCAAAGTTGGATTTTTTGTCACACACCTTTAGCATTTCCTGTTGGGATTAAATACAATAATGTAATTCCAATTTTTACCCAAAAAATCATCATTTAATTTATAATAATTATATTTATTCGAAACTGCTCAAGTTTTCTTATACCTAAGATTTCCAGTTCATTGGTACTGCATACCATTATAAATCCATTTTTTTCAGTAAACAAAAACCAGTACCAGTTTTTTTTTTGTATTGTAGATTTTTAAAGAACATTGAATTTATATACTGCATTTATTTGAATTTTATCAAGTACCTAAATCAGTTATTTTTAATAATACTCAAAGAGATCCTTCTAATTTGCTACTCGATGATCATTAGCTAGGGTTAGTCACAACATATTCAAGTGTATACTAAAGATATCCATAGATTTCCCCAAAAATTTCATCCAGATTGCCTTAAATCTCCCAAGATTTCGCTAGATCTCCCTAATTTTCCAGGGATTTCATAGAATACCAGCACAAGTGCACAACTAGGACACAACTCCCGAGGTCTTCTCCTTAACGCAACTTGTGCATTTCCTCTTGACCTATTACTTTCCTGGCAATATCAAAGCTATATTATGAGGTATAATATTTTTATTTCAGTGGAAAACCTGTCAACATGATATCCTCTCAAATATCCTCAATTGATAAAAAATTTAATTTTGAACGAGCATACAATCTCACTCAGTCAGATTTCCTCACTTCTTCCATAGATCTCCTCAGAATCCCTCGAATCTCCCTGATTTCCATAAAATTTTCCTGAATCTCCCCAGGGTTGCCATACACAAAAACCCACCATCAATAGTCATGTTCTTTCTACTGAGGATCTCACTTAATCTTATCTCACTTCACTTACTTACCTACATATGATTTATTTATTTATTTATTTACAAACTCAACAGATTACATCCACTTATAGAGTAGAAAAAAACTAAACTTACTTAACTGAACCATGCAATTTTCATTCATTAACCCTGAGGGAGTGAAGCTGGATTCACAATTGAATGACAGGCAAGATAGAACACCTCGAAATGATCGACCATCAAATTTTGTTCAGGAGACGCATATTCTGGCAACAGGGTAGCTCTAACAGGCTACTATCAAAATGTGCGGGGGTTGAGAACAAAACTAACCACCCTTATGTGCAATATTTCCACGGAAAACTATGATTTTGTGTTATTTACTGAGACTTTTCTGAACAAATACATTTTGTCGAGCGAATTGGGAATGAGTAATTACTTAATATTTCGCTGTGATCGTTCTGATAGAACCAGTGTCCATAAGTCACAAGGGGGTGTTATGGTTGCAGTGAGGAAGTCACTTAATTGTAGACAGATATCTACTCAATTTGAATCAGTGGAACACATTTTTGTACTGGTTTCTTTGAAAAGGCATCATATTTTGTTGGGCAATGCTTATCTACCCCCAGATTCTCCTACGGATACCTATGAAAGTTACTGCTCATCCGTAACAGCTGCGTTGGAAATATGTAGTAGTTGTCAAAACTTGGAAATTTATTTATGTGGAGATTTTAATAGACCAGATGTGTCCTGAATCAATGATTTGCATGGGACTAGGGCTATTGGTAAACAATCTGAACAAACCACAGAGTTTGCTGACTGCATGGCTTTCCACAGCTTATATCAAGCGAATAATATTTCTAATATTTATGCGAACTTTCTGGATTTGATATTTTGTAGTAATAAAGATGTATGTACCTCAATATCAGACGGTCCACTTTTGAATTTGGACACACCTCATCCTGCTTTGGTTTTTGATGTATTGATTTCAAATATTAATTCTAATAAGTTGGAGTATGATTATTGTTTTCTAGATTATAAGAATTGTAATTTTAGGGATTTAAATATTTATCTGTCTTGTGTGGATTGGCACTCTTTTGTTGATATGGATGATATAAACTCTGCTGTCGAAACTTTCTATAATCAAATTTATCATGGTATTGAGATCTTTACACCCATTTCAAAAAGAAAAACAGCAAAATTTCCAAGATGGATGGATAATCATTTGAAATATTTAATTTTGTCTAAAAAAAAGGCACATCAAAACTATACGAAATACCATGTCCAGGATTATAGAGTTTTTTCAGGAATTAGGAAAGAATGTAAAATTTATTCTCATATCAGCCATAGGAATTTCATTGAGAAAATCGAGTCCGAGACACAGGACAGAAATGGATTTTGGAGATATGTACGATCGAAAATCGTGGATATCCCAGTTCTATGTTTTTTGATGAGCATGGAGGTAGTACACCTCATGAAATTGTCAATCTCTTTAAGGATAGTTTTTCCTCAGTTTATACTGAGGTGAGTGTTGAGAGTGATCGAAACATTCCTGTCTAATTTATCTAGTTTGTCTAATTGCAGTATCAGTTCAGTTCAAATTACCCCTCTTGTTATATTTAACAAGATACATTCATTCAAGAATGGATTGGGTTGTGGTCCAGATGACATCCCAGTATTGTTTGTTAAGAATTGTAGTTGTATTCTTTCAGAGATATTATGTAAAATATTCAATAAGGCTTTAGAGTTGGGACGGTTTCCTGATATGTGGAAATTAAGCTATATAACTCCTGTGTTTAAGAGTGGAGAAAGAAATAATATTAAAAACTATAGGGCCATATCCAAAATGTCTATTTTTTCTAAGGTATTTGAGTCTATAATAACGGATTTTCTTACACCAATTTTGAAACATGTTATTGTACCAGAACAGCATGGCTTTATTAAAGGTAGATCTACATTGACTAATCTTCTGGTCTATGAGGAGGCTCTGTTGGAGGGGTTGGAGAATAAGTGTCAGATTGACTCGGTCTACACTGACTTCTCCAAAGCCTTTGACAGGGTTGACCATAAGATACTATTGGAGAAGGTGGCCGATGTGGGGCTGCATGGAGGTCTATTGAGCTTGATTGGAAGTCTTCTCACAGGTAGAAGGCAGGCTGTAAAGATTGAGAATTACATCTCTTCAGTATTTTCGGTGACCTCGGGGGTGCCTCAGGGAGGACACCTGCCTCCTTTGCTTTTTAGTATATTTATTAATGATCTGTCAGGTGTCTTCAGAAATTCCGATTTTTTGCTCTTGGCTGATGACTTGAAGTGTTTTATGGTTGTTCGGGATGTCAGGGATGCTCAATTATTGCAAGTGGACTTGGATATGTTTCGGACTTGGTGTCAAAGAAACAAACTCCCCTTAAATGTTGAGAAGTGTAAGATTATTACTTTTTCTCGGAAAAAACACCATACTTACATAATTACGTTCTTAATGATTTGGTGATTAACAGGGTTGAAACTATTAGAGACTTGGGAGTCTATTTCAACACAAATGTAAGCTTCACAGAGCACATTGTAATAACTGCTAATAAAGCAATGAAATTACTAGGCTTTATGTTCAGGTAACTAAAAGAATTTACTAATACACCCTAAGAAACATTTATTGTGCAATTGTTAGATCAGTTGTAGAATATGCTTGCCCTGTCTGATCCCCTTATTATGCTGTGCACATCTCCCACTTGGAGCGAATCCAAAAAAAGTTTAAAAGATCCATTGCATATCGATTGGGCATCCCAAGTGAATTTATAAATTATAATGAGTTAATGTCTGTCCTAAATCTTGAAAATCTGAACCAGAGGCGACAGTTTTTTGATATGTGTACTTTGTTTAAGATTGTTAATAATTCTATTGATTCTCCAGACTTACTTGCTAGAGTTGGCTTACATGTACCATCTAGCAATTTAAGAGGAAACACATTGTTTAACCTTGATTTTCGTAGAACCAATTATGGTTACCATTCACCTTTACTTAGAAGCTGTCGTTCTCTGAATGATATTATTTTGAAGACTGGTTTGGATGTTTTTAACATAAGTTTGGATAGATTCAAAAGAATTTTAAAGTCGATCCTTAAATGATCGTTTTTTGTATTTGTTTTCAATTTTAAGCGTATTATGTTGTTGTTTGTGTTTTGATACCTACTACAAAATATTTGTTTAGGCTTATTGTTTGCCCAGTGGATCTGAGTCTAGGAAAGAATTCTGACGTAAATGTTCCATGTTGCCACGTTTAATTATAAAAAAACGAAATTACTAGGCATGAAGTATAGTTAATTTGAAAATCCATTTTTTAATAACAAAATATTGATAACAATAATAAAACGCTAAATATTTTAACGCGGTTGTTAGATCTATCCTTATTTTAATCCTGATTTCTTCAGTTTGGTCTATTGTAAAAAATAAACATTTTCTAAAGATACCATCAGCTTTTGACAATTTGGCAATCATCCGTCCTGGATGAACCTGATTGGTGGTGTTTTTGGCAGGATCGCCGTTGTCATGAGGAACCATACG